AAAACTAGCACCTGTTGGACTTTTGGTAGAATCCTGACTTCATATTTCCCTCCTTTGTTACTATAAATAAACATTAATAGCTTAATTTACTAACAAAAGGAGCAAAAACAGCGTAAAACACAATAACAGCAAATCATACACTAACTGTCAGGGTTTGGTTGTGGTTTGAGGACCCAAATGCAGAGGCAGGGAAGCAGAGGTGAGTTTCTTGTGGATTTAAATAAAGGTAAACAGACAGCTGAGGCAGGAATCCAAATATCCAAAAATCATACATGAAAAAAGTCAAACAAACCAGAAACCATTGAGACTCCAGTGGGAAAGAATCACAACGAGGTAGACACAGTGAGACGGAGTTGGAGGAAGTTAGACGAGGAACCAGCACTGAGGAACTGCACAGGGAGAATATTTATGGGAGACTGAACAAAGAGAGCACTAACGAGCAGATTGGGAGCAGGTGTGAACAGAGCAGACTGGAAAGGAGCTAGAGAAAAAGGAGAACACAAGAGGGCAACAAATAAAAACCTGAAAATATAAAATATAACCAGAAAACACAACAAAATAAGAATTAAACCAGAAAACATGGAGTAAAGTGAAACTGAAAACATAACAGAATAAAGACTGTGACACCAACAGGACACTATGCACCTTTAGATGCTACATTCTTATTGTTTATTTGCAGTTTAATGACAAAGGTTTTCCACCAGAGTTGTAATCTTCACCTAGTAATGTGTTCAACTCTTCCTTTCACAGGTCCTACCCACCCGTCAGCCGCCCCGTTCGGCCACCCACCCCCTCACCCTGGAAACTTCCTCACCCCAGCATCACACTTAGGTAAGAGGACTCTTCCCTTTGTTTTTGTGTTTTTTGGTTTTTCAGGAAATGAAACTAAAATTGAAGCAACGTGTTGTATCTGTGCGTCCCTACAGAGCCTTTCAACAGGCCGTCATCATTTGGAGGACTGGGATCTCTCAGTTCATCTGCATTTGGGGGGCTAGGAAATCCAGCACTAAGTGAGTTTTAGCCTCATGATCAGTCCTTTTAGCTTCAATGCTATTGAAAGACAGACTCAGGAGAGAACTGTTGAGATACGCATTTAACTTGCGTCCCGCTATGTTTTTTCCGCGTGTTGAATCCCTAACAGCGGCCAACTCTGTGTTCGGCCATAAGGACGGCCCCAACGCACAGCAGCACTTAAACAGCAGCGGGAACAGCAGCCACCAGGAGCCGTGGAATCGCCTTCACCGCACGCCGCCCTCGTTTCCCACGCCGCCCCCCTGGCTGAAACCCGGAGACTCCGAGAGGAGCGCCTCGGTCAGCTCACACGAGAGGGATCGGGACTCGGATAAACGGGACTCAGTCGGCAAAGACGACAAAGACAGGTGGGTGCTTCAGAGGTGTCCAGAGAGAGGCAACAGCTGAGCTAAACTGGAATCATATTTATTCTTGAAAAATCAATAAATCTTTCCTTTTTTGTGTTTCTAGGGATTCTGTAGAAAAGCGTCAACAGAGCCATCCATCCCCAGTCCCCGTCCATCCAATCAACCTCCTGGGCCACAACCGTCCCCCCGAGCACCACAGGAACCATCTGCCTCCTGCTTCTGGAGACCCTCAGAGGGACAAGGAAGCAAAGGCCAAAGAAAAAGAGAGGGAGCACCAAGAGTCTTGGAAGGACAACACAGATGACCACAAGCTCAAAGAAAGCCAGCACGGCGACAAGGACGCCCCCGTCATCCATGACGGCCGAGCACCAGAGGAAAAGGTGCCCAGCAGGGGAACGACGTCGCCCTACGTCCGGCAGAACAGCCTGGAGCGTCCGAACGGTGGTCTGAGTCGGGAGGCCCTGGAGAAGAAGGCAGAGCTGTCATATGAGCAGCAGAAGAAGAACAGTGAGGTAAAAGTGAAGGAGGAGAGGAAGGAGGAGCAGGACGGGGTAACGGAGAGGATCGGTGAACCCCCTTCACGGGCGTCCTCCACCCCGACGCTGCACCCACCCTCTTCGGTGTCTGTTCCCATGGGCATGGCAGGTGTCCACCCCATCAACAGCATCAGCAGTCTAGAGAGAACTCGTGTTGTGGCCCCCTTCATGGGTGCAAGCCCCCTCCCTGGAGCCGAGAGGTTTCCCTATCCAGCTTTTCACTGGGACCCAATGAGGGACCCCTACAGGGGCCTAGACATCCACAGGAGGGACCCCTTAGCCAGAGACCTGCTGCTAAGGAACGACCCCCTACACCGGCTGGCGGTTCCGCGCCTCTACGAGGCCGAGCGCTCCTACAGGGACCGCGAACCTCATGACTTTAACCGTGACCACGCCCACTCTTTGGCGCTGGAGCAGAGACGGGAGCAGGAGCGCGCGCAGCTGGAGGAGCGAGACCGCCTCAACATGCTCAGAGAGGACTACGAACACGGGCGTCTCCACCCTCCAATGCACCACCCCGTCCTCGACGGACACCTTCCCCACCCTGCCCCGGGCCTCATGGCCCCGGGACTGCCGGGCATGCACTACTCCAGGGTGAGCCCCTCGGCTGCAGCGGCCGCCGCCGCCGCGGCGCACCAGAGCAGCATCTTAAACAAAACCCCACCCACCGCCTCGCTGAGTGCACCGCCCCCTCTCATCCCCACATTGGGCGCCCGGCCCGGGTCACCCAGACGGACTACTCCCCTGGCCACAGATATCAGGGACAGACCGACTCACAAAGACATTGAGGCACGATGAGCGGCGTCCTGTCCCTCCATCCCCGTGCCTCACCGTCACTAAACTCACACCCAGCACTTAGCTTCGGACAGAGCGAGACTGTAACATAGCTGTGAATAATTTATGTGGGCAGAGACGTGTCTGCAGGTCTTTTTTGTACAAAACTTTAACAAAAAGAACATTTGTTTCTTTTATTTTTTTTATAGTTTGCTCCATGGTTCTGTGTGCATTCTTGATCCTGTTTAGCAAAGTGATGTGGAGTCAGACTAAACCTTGGAATGTACAGCTCCTTTAGCACTGACAGTCATGTATATAACGTGTACAGTCGCTGTGCTCACCCTGTATGGATCGAAAATCATGGTACAAATATGCAAAAGAGTGTTTCGAAAGCTTTACTTTGATTAAATGTAAATATAGGAGTATTATGGCTTTGATTCAGAATGTGCTTTTTGCTATTTTTCTGTTTAGGTTTGTTGTTTTTTTTTCAGCATGTTCCAGAGATCCCACATACAACTATGCAACAAATGTCTGGGCTCCTGTTCTGAAAGCTGGCCTTCTCAGCACGGCTGACTGTGCATCAATAAAAGGAAAAAAACATGGCTGGAAAGACAAGCTTTAACCGGTTCAGATTAAACTAATCGACAAAGTTTAGGAAGGATCCTATCGTACGGTAAATTTTGGTGACAATCTACAATCTTTTATTGACTCAAAGTATTTTCTTAAATCGCAGCCGAGACGACGATTGATTCTCCGTCTCGGCTCGCGTTTCGTTCTGGTTTCCGGGGCGGGGGGGGAGTGTAGTCCAGTCAAACACCACCGCAGCACATCCAGCCCAACCGATGGTGTGTAAAGTACGTTTTGGAGACGAGCTCTGTTGGTCAGACGGTGTGATAAAGTGCTTTCCTTAAGTTGTTGTACCTACAAATACAAAAAGACAAAAAAAGCAAGTCTCAGCTACGGGCCGCTTGTTTCTAACTTGCAGAGATCTATTTTAGTAGTTCATGAAGGTTTAGTTGTGCGCTTCAAATCTCTGTGATATCATGTTGTGCAGTGTTTTTTTTTTATTTTTTAAATCTAATGATAAAACGTCCACCAGAGCCATAGTGGTTAGTTAATACGTAATGCAAAAAGATTGTTACCTGCAAAACTCTTTTGCCGTTTACCGTGTACAGAGGGGGTGGGAGGGTGGGAGAGGGGAAAAAAAAAACTTTCTAGCTCATGTACAAAAAAAATGAGTAAAAAATTAAGCGACTGAATCTTCAGCATGTTCCTCATTTAAACTTGTGATATGTAAATTGTGCCATGTTATTAAAAAATGTGTACTTTAGATGTCTGTGAGCCATTTGTTTTCAACACAGCTTTATAAGGTGCCATGCAAAAGTATTCCCACCCTTTGACCATTGACCACATGACAACTGTTATGTTCCTATTCAATTCAGTTTATATAGACCAAACTCACATCATCTCAATTCACTTCACAGTTCACCAGATCATACTGTCAAACTGATTAAAAGTTTTCTATCTAAGGAAAACCAGTTGATTGCATCGACTCATTGATTCGAAGGCAATCTCTTACACTAAGCATGCTTGTAGCGACAGTGGAGAGGAAAAACTCCCTTTTAACTTGGACCCTATTGGACCAGAATTAGATTAAAATAGAGTAGAAAAGAAAATCCCTTTGTTGTCCCGCAATGGTGTTACAGCAGTAAAAAGATGATAGGAAAAATGGTCACACAAATGTAGACCTGAAAAAAGTGTATGTTAGGGCTGTTAGGTTTCCCCAACTTTAACCTATAAAGAATGAAACAAAGACAGTGTAAGATTTTTCCTGACCGTGCTTTGCAAAGGGAAAATACACAAAGCTTTGGGATCTCTCTGTGCATCTTCGTCTTGCTCCACGCTTGCAGGCTTATTTATTGAGCAGTCAACACATTACAAAAGCAGGTGTTAGTTTCGATTACGCAATCTCTTAGACATAGCATGAACTTTTAAGATAGGGAACATGTCTGGTTTCAGTATACGCTTTTAAAAAAGGTGTGGGGGGTTGTGCACTTCATCTTCTGTGTTTCTTAAATGAAAAACAGGAAAACATTCTCGCAAAACATTTGACCGTCTTATGATCTGCATACGCTGTTTCCACTGATGACAGTATCATAGAAAAAACAAATGATTAAAAGCAATATAAAAGATATAAATGAATAAAATGATAAAAACAACAGAAATCATAATAACTCCAACAGTGTATAAAAATAACACAATAGTAAAGAGTTAAAAAAACAAAACAATAAAATACTGTAATGTAAAGTGTTTTCACAATTGTAAATACTGCACCTGAAGAATAATCAATATGCGGCTATGGACATTTTCACAGGAATGGATATTTGAAAATAGCAACATCAGAGATGTGCAAAATAACAGCAGCAGGTTATTTAACTTACTAAGGTAGAATCTGCAGAATCAGCATGAATGTAACAACTTAGAGGTTGTTGGGAAGTGTGGTGGTTATCGAGTATTCCAGCAGCAGGGAAGAAGGATCTGTGATAACGTTCCCTGGTGCATTTAGGGTGCAAAATTTTGACAAAGGTGCACACACCTAATAAATACTCTGTTTTATTTGATACAAAAAGACATAAAATACTTTCTATGCTCATTTTGAACGTGCAGATTCTATGCAATATCACAAGCATGAGTCCATGCTCTTTCTCTGCTCTCTCTTGCATGTTTTTCGCCTCTAGACTCTCTACTACTGGGACGTGAATTTGGTTCTGTACGCTCATGAAAAATTTTGAATTTTTTCTTTTGAGCGTTGAACATACCTGAAAAAGTCAGGTCATTTGTCTTGCTGGTGCGGTATACCCTTATATGGTATTTTATTTCTATTTATTTATTATTTTAGTCTTACCTAAAAAATTGAAAGTAATCCTGAAACTGATAAAACTTAATAAACCTCACATAAAAAATTGCTGAAAAAATTGGATTAAAACTAGAATAGAATTGAATATCAGAAGTCACATCTAAAAAAACAAAAAACAAATAGCCCTTGGAGGCTAGTAACGTTAGCTAAGCATCTTAAGGCTAATAGCTATTCTCTTTAAAGTCATAGGGAAGTCATATTTAAATGTCAAATCATTCTGGCTTAAACATGTAAATGTTCTCTTTATCAGACGATATTGTCCTAAAATTTAAAAAATCTCTATTTAAAAAAAAATCCTGTCTTAAAATCTAAAAAAAAATTTCCGTTGTTTTATGCAGGCCAGTTAGTTATACGTCAGCCTGAACACCTAAATTCGGCCAATCATATATCAACGGTCATCTGTCAATCAAATATTTTTGGTCATACCATCTCGATTCATATGTCGCAGCTTATATATGCAACTGATGAAATAAGAAATAGGAATCATTTCCTTTCCCATTGAGTTCCGTCCCAGTGTTCACGGGGATGGACGTCTGTGTCTTCAGCAGGCGTAGAGCTAACAGAACTGGCAGCGTTGTGAGGCAAGAGCTAAAACATGTACGGCTGTAAGCCTTCTACACCAAACCAAGCTTCTGCCGCCCTGGCGTCCTCTTCCACAACATCTTCCTCCCCACTTTCCTCCTCTAAATAAACAATGTATGATGGAGGAGACTCATCAGCGACCTCCGACACTAAACTCTCCTCCTCTTGCATGTTTCCGCTGTCCATAGCGTTCCTTTACAGGAACGCTGTCACCAATTTCTAAGTCACCAATTTAGTGCTACTTGGTCCCAACTTAGAACCTGCTAGCACTAAGTTGGTTAGCAAGATGCTTCCGATAAACTGGCCACAATCAAACTTGCTTGTGAACGTTCCGCCACAACAATCCCGCCCTCTTGATAAACGACCAATCATATTCACTTTATTCACTCGTGTAAAGGCGCGCACCACTCGAGAGAATTCAGAAATGAAACGGTTGGAACAGCCGTTTCCCTAAATTAAAAATTGCTTTAATTAAGTTATCATTAAATAACTTAGTCTAAAACGATCATCAATCCATTCTGACAGCAGCAGTAATATGCTCTAAAATGATTAAAGGTTAATTTGGAACCTCGTATGAGCTAAGCTAACATTAGCTTCTCTGCTTATATTGAAGAATTTTACTTTCTGGAATTGGATTATCCAACACTAGTACTAGTAGTTTTTTCTTCAATGTCCAGAATTGTGTTTACAAAAGTGTCAGTTAATAACAAAGGTGGCTGTCAAAGTCAAATTTCTACCCTTGAAGAGGTTATCTACGAGAACAGAGAAACAGGTTCACACCAGCAGAGAATCTAAAGCCGTAAAACAAGCAAAATCACAGGGAAGCAGATCTAAACATGCTTGTGATAAATTAACAGCTCATAGAATTAAATCTGCATGCATATAACGTTTAAAATGCACATGGAGAGAAGTTTACATGCGTCTGTTTTAGATATAACCGTTCGTATAAGCATCTATTGAGCTCTTGACAGAATCCTGAAAAAGGTAACATTTTGAAGGTTGGAAGTAAGGAATTCATAGGTTTCCAAAATTTCTTTATTAAAACTGCGAGGTATGGTATCACTGATACAAGTAAATGAAGTGAAATGTCGCCCTCATCTTGCTGGTGAAGGTTCTTAGTCATCCAGGTCATAGTCATTGCAAAAAAAATTTAAAACAATCATCTGGACTTTCAAAATGTCAGAAATAGCATAGAGTTCGAACTCTACGCTATTCCTGACACTTTGAATTGAAAAAGCTTCCTGGATGGGAAGCAAAACATCTTCAACCTTGGAAACAAAGTCCAGTGGATTGTTTTTAATTTTCTTTTTTGGGTGGCCCTCAGTTAGTAACCAGGATGACTCTAAATCCAGATCAAACAGCTTCATAAAATCCAAGGAACAGAGCAGACAAAGCAAAGGTGTAGAAGTTTAGAGTGTTACACTTCCTACCAGTTGGTGGCAGTGATGCATCAAGAGCTGTTCACCAATCACCAACAAGAATAAGGAAAAAGAGACAGAACCATTGTATTGGACATGTTGGACATTTTCAGCAAAGATAGAACGATTGTTTTCATGTTCTTCCTCCTTGTTTAAAGGTGGTTGGTGAACGGCCAACATGATGCTTTTATGATCAGATCACATCTTATACATAATTTGTGATGCTGACTGCATCTTGAGCAACATGGAGGCAAAGTTGGCACGACTTGGTCCCTGACTCCCGGACCTGTCCACCCCCTTTTGTTCAAAACGAGGGCCAACTTTTCTGCTGGCACAAATTCTGGGGAGGAGCCTCATTACGGTATAACCCCTCAAATAAGATAAGAGGATTAAATATGTGTAATAATTCAACTCCGTTTTTATTGCGCCAATTCAAAGTTCACCAGATCATCCAGTCAAATTGATTCAAAGTTTTCTATCTAAGAAGAACCAGTTGATTGCATCGACTCATTGACTCAAAGGCAATCACTTAGCATGTTCTGACAGTGGAGAGGAAAAACTCCATCTTAACAGGAAGAAACCTCAAGCAGAACCAGGCTCAGTGTGAGCGGCCATCTGCTGAGGCCGACTGGGGCTCAAGTGATATATTCTAAGAGATTAGTACACTCCTGATCAAAACCTTAAGACCAGTCAAAAAATTGCAAGAATTTGCATTTTGCACGATTGGATCTAAAGAAGGTTCTAAGTAGAGCTTCGCAATGTTAAAAGAAAAAATCAGCGTAAGAGACAAAAACTTTTGAGCAGGGAATTAATTGAAAACTGCATTTACATTCAAACATGATTTTTTTCAGCTGGTCAAATTCTTGTTGATGACTTCAAACAATGGTTTAGGCATGCTTGAATCAAGCATGCCTAAACCTCCTGGAAACACTGGCATCAAGCAGCTTGAT